CACACAATTATACAGGGTGTATATATATTCTGCACACAATTATACAGGGTGTATGTATATTCTGCACACAATTATACAGGGTGTATATATATTCTGCACACAATTATACAGGGTGTATATATATTCTGCACACAATTATACAGGGTGTATATATAAAACAGGGATTATTAGCTTATTATCTTAGATCCATTTTTCAATACAAGCTTAGTAAAATATAAATCAATTTAAGATTAAAATTGTGATGCTTCTGTTTGGAAACCCTGTAGTTAAGATAATCCACCTTCCTTTAAACAAATATGCAATAAGGAAGTATAATTAAAGAAAACTGTTAAAAAAAAGGATGAAAAAACTAATAGAGGTAGATTTTGCACGTAAGATTGAACTCTTATACGTTTTCTATCATAACTCTTTTTGAGAAGAACAAAATTGTTTTGCATTTCTAATTTGCACCCGGATAAAGGAATTGAGTTTTTGCCACAAAATCAAATTTTCGTATTCCTATATCTTTGTAAACTTATGGCATAAACCTTTCATATTTTAAATTTATACTTTATCTGAAAGAATTCAGAGTTTGAAATATTTGAGATCTATCACATCGGATTGCAGAGATATAGAGATTAAAACATCAGACTTTGTGGCAGAAACTCTCTTCCTTTGCTATTTTCTATACTTTCAAAACTAGAGGAGCTACGAGGTCACAAAGTTGTACCAGTAATATCGCATAATTTCAATACGTAGATATTTAGAAGTTTAAAGAACAATTGGATGGGTAGAATAAAGAACAATTGGATGGGTAGAATAAATTCTTATTTATTTATATATATATATATATATATATCTTTATTTGTGCAAATTTAACCTTTGAACGTTTTTTCTCACATAAATTTCATATTTTTGACTTTTCAAGCTTTATCATTTCGACACTTCAAGGAGATTCATGGAGTTTGCATTCACTTTGTGGTTATTATTAATAAACCATTATTCTGCATTAAATAAAGAGGAAAATTAGGTACAGTGATAACCAGATAACTCTGGAATAGTAAAACGCGACTTTGAGAGTCAAGTATTATTTTTGAAAAATTTAACGACCAGAAACACAGCATTGGGCAGTGTAAACACACCCATTTCACAAATATAGTGATTTTATAAGTGTCTGGTAAAACTATTTGCTTTGTAACACCATCAAATAAACTTAAGTATTGCTATAATGTCGTCTTTCTATTCCATTGTTTTCGGGTTATCACTGTCTAGGTAGGTTTAAAGATAGGTAAGAAGGTAGTTAGGTAGGTAGGTAGGTATTTGGATAGGAAATAGATAAATGTGTTCGTAGGTAGATAGGTAGGTAGGTAGGTAGGTTGGTAGACAGGGAGGTAGGTTAATAAGTACGAAGGTGGTTAGGCAGGGAAGTACTTTTTATATATGTACATAATAGGTAGGTAGGTATTAGTATACTGTATTGTATAAATTAGAATATTGGATCTTATAATACAGAGATATTACGTAACGCGTATCCTATCAAAGATATATAGATGGATAATCAGTAATCAATTATTTAATCATAATTCATTAAATCCTGGACAAATTTCTCCCAAAAACCACAGAAATATTAAGTGGGTTGACTAATATAAAGAAATTTTGGTTTCCAAGCAAAAAGTGTTTATATATATATATATACTTGCTGGGAACCCAGCTTTACCTGGAAGTTTTCCTAATTTTAGGAGTTTTTAACCAAACTAAGAACAATCCCGTGGTTCTACCGAGTTCCCCAGTTTAAATTTTAGGCAAATCGGTCCATAGGGTTTATGAGTTATGATCGGACATACAAACATCCTAACAGAGATTACAACTTTCTATATATAAATATACGTAACCAGGAATTTAAAACTAAATCAATAATACTTATTTTAAACAAAAAATAAACAAACAAGTACATAAGAACTTTGTAAATATCCTAAACCAAGGGTAAAAATTGTATTTACTCAAGTTTATTATAGATTACAGCTTTTTGTAAATAGTAACGATTATATGTTTTTACAGGGTTGCTTACGTAGGATGAGAGTACAGAGACGACTGTACGGAATGTATACTGTTTACTTGTATGCTATGCAACTGTAAACATGATTTTCTTTTTGCCAAATCATTTAATACTCTATTAATGGAATATATTATGTATTACAAAAAAATATTCTTAAGCAGCATTTGCAATTTTACAGTGAACACCTCATATTATTTTGAAGAATATATTTATGTAGTTATATTTCATTCATATGTATGACTTCATGAGTTATATTTGCTCGTATAAAATTATTTGAATATTTTCACTTCAGACCTCTTGAAAGGACAAATATTTGACCAGAGTCTGGAACTTAAACAAATAAACCCAGCAAAACCCAGTTTCAAATATTTGATAGATAATATTTTTATCATAATACTTAACTTTATTTACGATATTTTAGAAGAGCTGTGAACTTTTAAATAAAATTGATTTAAACATAGTTCCTCAACTAAATTTATTTTGAAATGAAACTTACTAAATTGGTAATTAACTAACACCATAGTATCAGTAGCAGTAAATATTTCCATTTACTGAAAGCGCCGATTGAAGGATTCATAACTCTTATTGGATAATGAGATAGATAGATAAATAGCTGTTACTGCCATACTATTTCTATTGGTT